GAAAGCTTATGCTCTAATAAATTTGTTAGTCTCTAAGGTGCCACAAGTACTCCTGTTCTTTTTATTAAAAGACCAGTCGCTCCTGACAGTGGTAACCATCACAGATCTGTTACTGCTCATGGTAAAGCACAGAGGACTACTGCAGTAACTCAGCTAGGAGAGCAGAGCAACAGCTGGCAAATTTTGCTGTTTTAATGGTGACCATTGCAAGCTCAGAAAAGGGCTCTAGGGACAGCAAATCATAAGAAGAGCTAAAAATGGTCATCATTAGACCCCCCCCCCAGCTGGGATTAATTTCCTGTAATTAATTTGATAACTGGATGAATTTTATTTCCCATACCCATAAGACTCCTGAGACTCTTCTTAGGACAACTGTTTGACTCAAACATTTCTATTTAACCAGTTCCAAGTTAATGGAAAATTGTAGTCACTGTTTTATTTAAAAGGGAGGTAATTTGAACTAGTTCCCACAATGCTCCTGTCACATTTGTATGCATGTGCTAATTAATACTACTGTGCGCTCATATAGTGCTCACTGGATCTCTAAAACCCTTTACAAACAATGAATTAAGCCTTACAGTAGCCTTGCCCGGATGCAGTAATTGAGATGCAGAAGAGTTAGGTGCTTTGGCTCAAGGTTGCAAACCCAAATCACTAGGCTCACACTCCCGGGACAGATCCAAAAGACCTTTCTTCGCTGCTGCGCTGTTCATACAAGTCATACAGGATCCATCATGTATGTTATTGATGAGCAAGTGTGCACCATGTGCTCAACAGCTGTGAAGCTTGTTATTCAGAAGTTTCCTGTTACATCAGGACCCGTGACAATGTCCCCTCTTCAGGTCCCAGTGGCATGAAGAGCTGAACTGCCCCTACGAGTCAAACTGCCACAGCCTTCAAAAAATACTTCGCTCTGTCCGCTCCTAAGAAGGGAACACACAGCCTAATCTTCCTGATCACTCATTGCACACAGCAAACACTCGTGCCCTTGATTTGATTCTTCCCATGAGTCCAACCTTGTTTTCAAAATCTCCCTTTGACCTTGGCATCTCTTTTCTGTCCAAGCTGCACAGGTTGGCCTCCAGCAGTGAGGCAGCCCTCCAGAGGGGATAGCTGGCTGATGGTTGGCCCAGCCTTGCTCAGCTGCTAGCTAACATCCTCCTCCATCCCTGTTACAGCCCCAGTGCACTCCAGTGGAAATCGAGAGAGGAGTCTGGCTACCTGCTCTGGATGGTGCTGGCGAGATACTAAAGACAAGCAGGGAGTAAAGACCTCACACTTTGCTGGTGGTGGCCAACAACTGAGGCAAAATGCAACCAAAGTTCTTAGGGTCTGGACGCAGCAGCCAAGCAGATGAAGGACAGCCACATACCCAGGAGCTGTTCTTTGGGGACAGGGAAATGCAGCTGATGCCCAATCCCTCTCCAAGTGCAACAGAGGATTAAAGGGAGTGGCTGTGTATCAATGCCCCCTCTCACTCAAGACATGCTCCTTGGGCACCTTCTGGCCACCCTCTCTCACTGTCCTGACAGCACGCTGATACAATCCCTGCAAAGCCAGCACAGCTCTGGAAGAACAGGCTCTCTCAGCTATCAGCCTAGCCATTACATTCTGATTACAGATGAGGCATATGACCAGAGAAGGGGCAGAATTACCACCACTTTCCCTTTTGATCCCTGACCTGCCTTTTCCTTCTGTCTCCTTCATTGTCCCCTTCCTAGAAAGCAAGAAGAAATCAGAGGTAGTGGAGACAGGAGGACTGAGGTAACTGCAACTCTATGCTTCCAGCATGCAGGGGACAAACAACTGAGAAAGGGACAGACCAGGGCTAGACTCCATCGAGATCTTGCTTCCCACTTCCTGTAAGTGGAAGCCACATGCCAATGTAGTAAAGGCTACTGCAAATGGAAAAGAAAGGGGATGCACAGACTGAGCCCTGCAGATACATGATGCACAGAACCAGCAAAGGTGGTCACAAACTTCCTGACATCACATTGCTTGTGGATGCACCAGTCCCATAAATGAAATGGGAGTTCCATTTCAGGGTCCCTTCGACCCGTAACTTCTCTGCTGAGATTGCCAACAAAGGAACCCTGCTGGATGTGAATAAGCAGCCACTGCAAAATTGACCGAGACCATTGGCTTTTAAATGGGTGACAAAGATGAAGGGCTGTTCTCCATCTCCCACCACTTTCCAGATCAGGAATGGGCAAACTTTTTGGCCCGAGCGCCATATCTGGGTATGGAAATTGTATGCAGGCCTTGAATGCTCACAAAATTGGGGTTGGGTGCAGGAGGGTGTGAGGGCTCTAGCTGGGGGATGCGGTCTCTGGGGTGGGGCCAAAAATGAGTTCAGGGTGCAAGAGGAGGCTCCGGCTGGGGGTGCAGGCTCTGGGGCACAGGAGAGGCTCTGGGGCACTCTAGGCAGTGCTTACCTCAAGCAGCTCCTGGAAGCAGCGACATGTCCCCCTTCCAGCTCCTACACAGAGGCACAGCCAGGCAGCTCTGTGTGCTGCCCCGTCCTCTCCCATTGGCTGCAGTTCCTGTCCAATGGGAGCTGCGGGGGCTGGGGCAACACACAGAGCCCCCTGGCTGCCCCTAAATGTAGGAGCTGGAGAGGGGACATGCTGCTACTTCTGGGATCCGTGCAGAACCATGGCACACGGATGTGGAGTGGCCCCTGGTTCCCAGCTGGAGTGTGGGAGCAGGGCAAGCCCCAGACCCCATTCCGCAGCAGGAGCTCAAGGGCCAGATTAAATTGGCTGGCGGGCCAGATGTGGCCCACGGACCGTAGTTTGCCCACCCATTCCAGATGATTACAATATACAATGGCAGGGCATCAGCAAATGTACAAGGGAGTTTGGTTTCATGGCTGAAGAAAGAGGCAGCTCTGTTACAAAGGAATTAATCTCATTAGGACAGACTGAAAGGCCAGATACACCAAGCCTTTTATCCACAGGATCATCCCACCCGCCTTTGTCAATGCAATCACAGACAACTGTACTGCTCATGCAAAAGGGCTGCTGGATGTGTTCTGAAGTAGCCCTGCCTTCAAGCTAGATAAGGAGAGCTTCGTCCATTTAGACCGGTCCATTTTCTCCCAAAACAACTGGAAAAGAGCTACAAAATTGTAAAGCAACAGTGTAGGAATTCTGCTCCAGAGCAGCTCTCTCATTAGTGGAGGAGAAGGTGCCTCCTTCCCCCTTCCAGTCCCACACAAGGCTTCAAGCCAGGCCATTTGATACTCAGTCACTAGTCATATTCCCGGCCTGTTCTCATCGGGCTCAGCTTTTCTATGCTGGTCCCCTCAAGACACAAAACCTTTTCAGCTGAGTGAAGCCAGCTAAAGACACTCTCCAAAGAGGCACCTGGTCATTGATCTACAGTCCCAGTCTGGCTGCATTCCAAGGGGCAAATGGCCCAGCTTGTTGCAATGCAGCAGGTCATTGCTCCCAGAACAGTGGCACCAGGAAAGTTGTTTTCTTTTAAAGAAGCTAAGTATCAAGGACTCTATCCTGGTACTGACACATCACAAAGGGAACACACATGGCCATATGTTCCCAGTACCCTCTCACCCAGTCCCTGTAGCTTGTGTATCACCCCTCTCCCTGTAGTAGAGTCCATTCAGTGATCTCCAGTAGTTAGTGTAAACATCCCCCCTTCACGATAAAGCTTCATTCATTCAAAGGTGGATTGTGTCTCACCTACACATTGTAACAAGTTAATGCAGCTCTCCACCTTGCCATATGGGGAATTTGCTGACAAGCACAGAAGGAAGAACACAGCAAGGGGGGCGGGGAAAGAGGAGGGAGACAGAATTTTACAATTTCGCAGGAATCTAAAAACTTGAATCAAAATTTCCTTGTCTTTTCCAGGTGCTGTATTAGCTGGGGCACAACCTTCCCACTCTACGCTGGCATTTCTCTGCCAGCAGGCTGCTCCCATACCCCACAGCAGTGATGGGGACCGCAGATGCACTGTCGTCTGCTTGCCAGTTGGGACGTGGAGGCATACTAGGAAACCATCTGGAAAATCTGCCGACAGTTGTAAGGAAGGGACAGCCCACAAAATAAAAGGACCAGTCTCTTCAATTACCACCAGATACCAAAGCTTTCATCATGGAAGACCAACTCTGCCTGACCTTATAGTGACCTCAGATATGCTGGCAGAGGCCTTGTGTGACAAAGATGGATGACAGACACCCAACTGCATGGTGGCAGATACTAGCGTTTAGCAATTTCAGATGTCGGTCACAGATATAGGGATCTTATGAACCCCAGATGAACACCTTCTTTGGTTAGTGAGACTAGCCACCTTACAGGTGACCTACAAAGCGCAAACAATTGCCTTTGTGGCCTTTTTGATTCTTTTTATGGATGAATAAGACTTGATAGTTTTAGTATGAGCTCCAGTGATGCCATTATCCAGGCCTGGATTCCTTCCAGAATCCTACCCTTGCTTAATTGTTCGGACAGGGGAAAACATGCACTTTCATCCCAGGTCAATATTTTGCTATGACTGCTAAGTATTGTGCAAACACACACAACGGGTGCCATCCTGGGAAGCAGTGCACAGAAATGGCTGTGCTGTGTCCATGGCAGAAGTCAACCCCCAGTGGATGTACTTCAGGGCACACACAGGCATTGCCAAGGCCCTGAGCACCCAGCCAGCTACCTTCTTGTACAAGTGAGGGGACTGTTTTCAGAAACACGAGATTGAAGTGGAGCTCTCAGAACCAGAATAGGACTGAGCCCTCTCTCTCCTACCTGGTATTAGAATATTCCTGCTCCCACAAAATGCCTGCTTTGGAACACTGTGCACGCTGGCAATGCTACTGCAAGGCTCCTTGTTAGAGTCCCCTTTACCAACACTACAGTGCACCATCAACCTGCACATCTTTCTAGGTGGAGGTGGAAAGTCCTTCAGGTACGCACCACCTAAAGGAAATTAGCTTGAAATTTCAGGATGCACCAAAACAACTGCTCTCTTCCAACAAGCAGCACTGCTTCCTCAGTGGTGGCATGTGAATCCACGAACATCAAGGGTATGCGAATCATTCAACCCTGGCTCTGGATGGCCTCACCATCTAGTGGGGATCAGATGGTGAAGTAACACTTCAGACAGGACTGTTACAGAAGTTAGAGACCATAAAAGCAAAGACCATGTACCAGTTGCCTAACAATGGCACAAATGTGCTACTGTGGCCATCATAAACTTTGGCCCAGGCAGAATGGAGACTGTTGGACTTTTTACCCACCACTCAATCTCCAAGGTAAAAAGCCCTTGGTCTATTCCAAGATTAACCTTGAATCCAGGTATCCCATGCTGCAGCATCACGCACCTTTGAAAGTTTCTTCCCATTTTGGGCAGAAGGGCAAGAACCCAGTGCCTCTCCCCCTCACACTTCCCATGGTAAGAAATGCTTTTCCAACTAGCAAAGCAGTTTGATGGAGCCAAGAGGTAAGAAGCTATTTAAAACAACAAAGTAAGCACTTTATTTCCATTAAGCATGTTGTTTTAGTATCACAATGGAATGATGAGAAAACATTAAAAAAACCCACCAGTTTCTAAATCCCTGAAAATAGCAGGGAGGCTTCAAGGCAATTTAAAACGAGAGGGAGTGACAAGTGCCGAACCAGTCCCGACATCACAATTCTCCTCCAAGAGCAGGGCAGGGGCGGGAAGGTGGAATGATGCGAAGGTGCGAATGTCTGAAGTAGTCTTTGGCGTTTCTGCCTCATGATTGACACACACAAGATTTGTCAAGACGACTCACTGAAATCTCCGGACGCAACGAAGTGCTACATTAGTAAAACAAGAACCCAGCAAGATGACTTTTCATATGGTGGGAATGCCCTACAGTTGGCGTTAAGACCCATTCTTGCAGGCAGTGCTGCTGACTCAACGGGGAGGTTTCTGAGTTGGGTAAGGAAGCGTGGTGGTGCGTGAATCCAAGAACATGTGCCCATGCGCAAGACACTGCATCATCCTCCAGTACTGACAAGAGCAGGGAGGAGAGGAAGTGGTGACAAAAGAAGTACAAATCCATTCTTTACAGCGATCAAAACATGAGTCCAGTGCAGAAACTATAGCTTCACAGTTCCAGGGGGCAAACTGTCATTGCAGAGCCTATAGTAGCGCAGGTCATTCACCAGTCTGTGCACGTTCTGGGTAAAAGATGGCAGGTCCTGGAGAAAGATCAAGCAACACAGTTACAGTGACAATGGAGTAGTGCCTGCAAGTACCTGTCTTACCATAGGGAGCAGTATTTGGCATTGTCCTAGTAAATCAATGAGCAAAGACAAAAGCCCCTATTTATTTCACCTGTAACCCAGTTCTCCTGTAGATGCCAGGAGAATACCTTATGGTGGTTCCCCCCAACAGCTTGATCCCAGGGCAAATCCTTGATGTAAATATGCTCTTATTGAAATCTCATATTAAGAGAGAAGCCACTTCTCTGCCTGGAATAGTTCTTCAATCTAATGGCTAGTTACTGAGAATGGAGTTCCCTGCAAGAGAACTTTGAAAATCCTGGATTTTATTTACAGGACTGATTTCTTAGTGTGCCTACGCATGCAGAACATGAGCTGGCATCACATGGCCAGGGGAGGAGCCATCTGCTAGAACAGCAACCTGTGTGCTTTTTTGCAGTGAAGCCACGCAGGGCAATTCCCACGTTTCCTAGTGCTATGGGACACATGGAAACAAAGACTCCTATTTTCCAACTGCATTTGGCTATTTTAGAAAACACCAAGGAAATCAAGGCTATTAGCCAGGATGGGCAGGAATGGCATCCCTAACCTGTTTGCCAGAAGCTGGGAATAGGCGACAGGGGACGGATCGCTTGATGATTACCTGTTCTGTTCATTCCCTCTGGGGCACCTGGCACTGGCCACTGTCGGAAGACTGGATACTGGGCTAGATGGACCTTTGGTCTGACCCAGTAGGGCCATTCTTATTTCTTTCAGGTTTCCTGCCTCCCTCCATACAAATCCCCTTCTAGATCAGGAGCACCCAAAGGCCATGTGTGCTCCCAGGAGCTTGGAAGCTGGTCTGTAGCTATTGCCAGGTATATTTCATAAGTAGGGCTGTCAATTAATCGCAGTTAAGTCATGCGATTAACGCAAAAAATTGATTGTGATTAAAAAAATTAATCACGATTAATTGCACTGGTAAACCATAGACTACCAATTGACATTTATTAAATATTTTAGATGTTTTTCTGTATTTTTGTACATATTGTATTCTGTGTTGTAACTGAAATCAAAGTGTATATTTTTTATTCTAAACATTTGCACTGTAAAAATGATAAACAAAAATAGTATTTTTCAATTCACTTCAATACAAGTACTGTAGTGCAATCTGTCATGAAAGTGCAACTTACAAATGTAGATTTTTTTTGTTTACATAACTGCTTTCTCTCTCTCTCTCTCTCTCAAAAAAAACAAAAAAAACGATGTAAAACTTTAGAGCCTACAATTCCCCTCAGTCCTACTTCTTGTTCAGCCAATAGCTAAGACAAACAAGTTCGTTTACAGGAGATAATGCTGCCCTCTTCTTATTTACGTCACCAGAAAGTGAGAACTGGCATTTGCATGGCACTTTTGTAGCTGGCACTGCAAGGTATTTATGTGCCAGATATGCTAAACATTCATATGCCCCTTCACGCTTCGGCCACCATTCCAGAGAACATGCTTCCATGCTGATAACCGTCATTAAAAAAATGTTAATTACATTAATTAATCCTGTTCTTTTTGCGGATACAGACTAACACGGCTGCTACTCTGAAACCTTAATTACATTTGTGACTGAACTCCTCAGGGGAGAATTGTATGTCCCCAGCTCTGTTTTACCCGTACTCTGCCATATATTTCCTGTTATATCAGTCGCGGATAATGACTCAGCACATGATGTTCACTTTAAGAACACTTTCACTGCAGATCTGACAAAATGCAAAGAAGGTACCAATGTGACATTTCTAAAGATAGCTACAGCACACGACCCAAGGTTTAAGAATCTGAAGAGATGAGGTGTGGAGAGTGCTTTCAGAAGTCTTAAAAGAGCAACACTCCGATGCGAAAACTACAGAACCCGAACCACCAAAAAAGAAAAATCAACCTTCTGCCGGTGACATCTGACTCAGATAATGAAAATGTACATGCATTGGTCCACACTGCTTTGTATTGTTATTGAGCAGAATCTGTCAAAAGCATGGACGCATGTCCTCTGGAATGGTGGTTGAAGAATGAAGGGGCATCTGAATCTTTAACACATCTGGCACGTAAATATCTTGCAATACCAGCTACAACAGTGCCATGAGAACACCTGTTCTTCACTTTCAGGTGACATTGTGAACAAGAAGCAGGCAGCATTATCTCCTGCTGTAAACAAACTTGTTTGTCTGAGAAATTAGCTGAACAAGAAGTAGGACTGAGTTGACTTGCAGGCTCTAAAATTTTACGTTGTTTTATTTTTGAATGCAGATTTTTTTGTACATAATTCTACATTTGTAAGTTCAACTTTTATGATAAAGAGCTTGCACTACAGTACTTGTATAAGGTGAATTGAAAAATACTGTTTCTTTTGTTTTTTAGTGCAAATACTTGTAATCAAAAATAAATATAAAGTGAGCACTGTACACTTTGTATTCTGTGTTGTAATTGAAATCAATATATTTAAAAATGTAGAAAACATCCACAAATATTTAAATAAATGGTATTCCATGATTGTTTAATCATGCGATTAATTGCAATTAATTTTTTTAATCGTTTGACAGCCCTATTCATAAGGAGATTACAGCCCCCCACTTACTCCAGCTTTATCCAAGAGGCCTGCAGGAGATGGATGAGATTCCAGCTACACTATTTTATACATCTTTGCTACAGCTCTTAAATTGCAAGGGTAGTTCGTGGTTGGGCAAGGCCTGAGTGACCTTGTTCCAGAAGGAGTGTAAGTCCTGGCCCTGTGAGGAAGTGCCACAGGTGAAGTTTATTCCCCCAATATGTCAATTCTTTCACAGCTGGATAGACAATCAGAGACAAGACAGCAGCTGGATTTACTAGCAGCCCTAGGAAATTCCAGTTGCAGGCACAGAGGACAATAGGAATGCCACCTGTCTTTAGTGACAATTCTGAGAAATCCCTTTTGTTTGGCGGGGAATTCACGGGGGTCAGGTCTCCAGCTGATAGAGAATGCGTCATGACATAACTCTGCTGTGATGCATGCCAGTACCTGGCCCAGAGGTAACCCCTCTGCAGCGTCACTCCCCCTTACCCTGTCCATTTTGAAGTTCCTTCCCAGTACATTTTTCTGATTGGAGTCCACGCCGTCACAACTGGCTAAGAACTCCGTGAGAAAGGCTGAGTAGAAGCTATCAAAGTCCACTGAGGCCATGTTGTAGATAGCAATGCCAATCTCTTCCTGCAACAGGTCGTGTGATTTGTGGACCAGCACCTGAAGCAGCACATTCACAAACTGAAACAGCATGGTTGTCCGGAAGATCTTCTGCAGGGCGAGAGAAGCACACTCAGTCATATCCTCCCAAGCTGCCAAGCCTCCTGGGTGGGGTCAGACTGAGCCACTACATAGTGCCATGCCAGCTTGCCCACCAAGGGGAGAAGCAATTCTCCGGGACGAAGGCCAGATCAAGGCAGTAAGCACAGCTGCATCTGACCATCCCTTTGCTGGAGGCCTTAATGTTTTTTCTAGAATTTCAGCTTTCACTTAGGAACAGAAGCCGCTAGCTCCTTTGACTGTGCAGAACACATCCCAAGTGTGAACCAGCATAGCAGTGCTGAATCTGCAGGGACTGGAACAGTGAGCCAAATTAATCCCTGGTGTAAGGCAGGGGGTGAATTTGGCCCCATTCAGCTCAATGGTTATGGCAGATATGGGCAAACTATGGCCCGCAGGCCACATTTGGCCCGCGGGACCATCCTGTCCGGCCCCTGAGCTCCGGGCCGGGGATGCTAGTCCCCAGCCCCTCCCCCGTTGTCCCCCCTCGCTCGCAGCCATGCCGCAGTGCAGGCCGCACTCTGGCCTGCCGCTTCCGCTGGGCAGCATGGGGAGCGCAGCTGGCTCTGGCCGGGTGTTGCAGCTGCGAGCTCCTGCTGCTGGTAAGGGGGTGGGGGGTGGGTAAGGAAGCTGGACGTCCTGGGGGCAGTCAGGGAGGAGGGGGCATTTGATTGGGCGGAGGTTCTGGGAAGGCGGTCAGGGGATGGGAGCCTGGGGGGCCTGTCAGGGGGCGGGGATGTGGATAGGGGTCGGGAGGGCAGTTAGCGGCGGGGGGGTCCCAGGAGGGGGTGGTCAGGGGATGAGGAGCAGAGGGTGGTTGGATAGGGGGTGGGAGTCCCGGGGGGGCTGTCTGTGGGCAGGGTGTGGATAGGGGTTGCGGCAGTCAGGGTCAGGGGGGGTTGGATGGGTTGCGGGTTCTGAAGGAGGCAGTCAGGGGCGGGGCTAGGCTGTCTGGGGAGGCACAGCCTTCCCTACTCAGCCCTCCATACAGTTGTGCAACCCCGATGTGGCCCTCGGGCCAAAAAAGTTTGCCCACCCCTGGGTTATGGACTCAGAAGAACGATGGCAGTTTAAACATCCACTACTTGAGCAGGAGATCAGTAAGTCCCTTTCTCACTCCAGCTCACCAGACGCCCACCCAATGCCAGATGCTTACGAAAGCACCAGAGGTTCCAACAAGTCTTGAAGATTAGTTAGTGCACCAGCCACAACAGCCTGCTGTTGATACAGGTCAAGGACAGAGTTCCTCTGTGGTAGCTGGTCCTAACCTGGGGTCCCTGCTTTCATCCGGTAGCCAGGAGGGCTAAGCCCCAGATTCTACCTCCAGTCTTTCAAGACAATGGCCAATATGCCAGAACTGAAGTGGGGGGAACTCCACACGACAATTAGAATGACTTGATTTTAAAGGTTAAATACCTTGCAGCCTGCCAAGGTGAGAGCCAAATGCTTCACACAGAGATCATTAGCCTTCCTCCACTGAAGAGTCCAAACTAGGGTGTCGATTAATCGCAGTTAACTCACGCAATTAACAAAATGAATCGTGATTAAAAAAATTAATTGCGATTAATCACAGCTTTAATCGCACTGTTAAACAATAGAATACCAGTTGACATTTCTCTACATTTTCATATATATTGTATTCGTGTTGCAATTGAAATCAAAGTGCATATTATTTTTATTACAAATATTTGCACTGCAAAAATGATAGACAAAAGAAATACACCTCTACCCCGATATAACGCGGTCCTCAGAGCCAAAAAAATCTCACTGCCTTACAGGTGAGACCGCATTATATCGGGTTCGGGCCGGTACGGCATACGGCAAGAGCCAGTACACCGTGCCGGACTGGAGCAGATTCCTTGGCGGTGATTTAAAAGGCCTAGTGCTCTAGCTGCTGTTGGGAGCCCCGGGCCCTTTAAATCGTTGCCGGAGCTCTGGCAGCCGGGCTCAGGCAGGGATTTAAAGGCCCGGGGCTCCACACGAATTCGGATATAACATGGTAAAGCAGCGGGGGTCGGGTGGCGCTTTAAGGGGTCCGGGGCTCCTCGCTGCTTTACCGCATTATATCTGAATTCGTGTTATATCGGGTCCCGTTCTATCGGGGTAGAGGTGTAGTATTTTTCAATTCACCTTATACAAGTACTGTAGTACAATCTCTGTTGTGAAAGTGCAACTTACAAATGTAGATCTTTTTGTTACATAACTGCATTCAAATACAAAACAATGTAAAACTTCAGAGCCTACAAGTCACTCAGTCCTACTTCTTGTTCAGCCAATCGCTAAGACAAACAAGTTTGTTTACATTTACAGGAGATAATGCTGCCCGCTTCTTATTTATATCACCTGAAAGTGAGAACAGATGGTGACATTGTAAACAAGAAGTGGGCAGCATTATCTCATGGAAATATAAATAAATTTATTTGTCTGAGCGATTGGCTGAACAAAAAGTAGGACCGAGTGGACTTGCAGGTTCTAAAGTTTTACATTGTTTTATTTTTGAATGCAGATTTTTTTTGTACATAATTCTACATTTGTAAGTTCAATTTTCATGATGAGATTGAACTACAGTACTTGTATTAGGTGAATTGAAAAATACTATTTATTTTGTTTTTCTTACAGTACAAATACTTGTAATAAAAAATATAAGTGAGCACTGTACACTTTGAATTCTGTGTTGTAATTGAAATTAATATATTTGAAAATGTAGAAAATATTCAAATTTTTAAAAATAAATGGTATTCTATTATTGTTTAATCATGATTAATCTGATTAATCACAATTAATTTATTTAATTGCTTGACAGCCCTAGTCCAAACCCCAGCCCCCAAAGTCATCCTTTACCATGTTCAAACCTCTAAGTATAATAGCTTTTGGTCCTTCCATTCATTCCAGCCCAGTCCTTTCTGGATGTTTGGATGGATGGCAAATTTCCCTCTTCTGCTTCCACAAGGGGGAGGCTCCTATCTGGGACTTGCTTTCATGGAGAGATTAAGTGATGGTGGGGGCTCACTTATTCTGTGCCCCTTGTGCTCAGGAGAGGGGGAAGATTTGCCCCAATCAGTGAATCCTTTCCTCCCCTCCCATTTTGGGTGACTCCTTCCATCCTCTTCCCTACTGTTGTTGAAGAGCCCACCAGGTTTTTACTGTGACCAGTGCAGAGGTGGGATCACTTCTGTACCAGACACCAGTGCAACAGGCTGAGGGGAATGTTGATTTAATCCGTGCTGTGCCCCCAGCTCTGTGCTCCTAGCACAACCACCACTAGAAACACGATGACTCAAGGTCTGCTGCACTCCCCGCCCACAGCCTTTACTCCGAAACCTCTCCAGGGGTGCTGTATATCACCAAGAGCTTGGAGTTGCAGCTTGCCAGTACCATCAAGCAGTAATTTCTAGCATTCCGGGTTCACGAGATACCAGACCATAATACTGTCACACTGCTCAGCCTAGCAGTGGCTCAGGACTTGCTATATAGCAGGGCTCAGCACAGTGCCCTCTATCTGCTGCACACAGCACATATAGGAGTTGACCAACTGGCACCCACCTTGTGGTACAGCTTCTGCTTGGTATTCAGTGTCTCCAGGTAGAAGAGATTCTGTTTAAATAGGTGTATGTCAGGCTGTAGGAAGGACTGGCCAAACGCCTATGGAAAAAGACAGATCTTAGGAGATGGAATGAGTAGCAATATGCCTAAAGGCCAGCATGCAGGTTTGCCAGACAGGACTGGAGCACATGACATCAAGTGCTGGCCAAAGGCAGATCTATATATTAGAGTATTTGGTGTCCAACTGGATCTCCTGGCATCAGAGTACATACCACTTGGCAGGGCCCTCCGTTAGCCCAGAGGCTTGTGTTGTCTGAGCTTTTCAGGTTTAACTCCCATTTCTGTACTAGATATACTGCCATTATACCCTAATCCTGCTCGCGCTCTCCTGCAGGGAACTGCTACCTAGTGCCCAGGCTGGGAGGGCAGGTGCCTGGCCTCCTTTGAAACAGACACCTGCAGAAGTCAGCCCAGGCGGCAGAGGTAGTGCTTCAACCACCACTTCTCCCCAGTGCAGAATCTGAGGGCTGTTTGAAAGACCTGTCTCCTTTTCAGGACCCCACTCACACCCTTCCAGCTGTTAACTGTAGATGGATGTGGCTCAGCTTGTCTCGGTCAATCCCTCCACCTCCCTCCCAGCTGTTTGCCTTCATTGTGAACCTGACCTCACACACAGCCAACCCCAGAGTATGGCAATGTGGGAAGCTGAGGGCTTTCAGCTTTGGCAGTCCAGAAAGGTACCATTTCCACCACTCACCCTCCAAGTAATGTTCCTGCCAAAAAGGACCTATTCTCAGTTTTCATCAGGAAATATCCTCAAGGAGCTCAGGGAGACTCTCCTGTATCTAATATGCCATACTCCAAGGATACAGGCAGAGCCCTATCAAATGCAAAACCCATCCAGAGTAGTGAAGAGCCCACGTCCCAGGGACAAACCCCCCAGGAGTTACAAGAACCTCTCATGACACTCCTAACTCCAGTCAACCCACAGAGCAGAGGTGATTGCTTAACAAACCATGCAGATACCAGACCAGAAAAAATGACCAAACTTCAACTGAAGTCTAAGCACATCTGAGACACTCTGAACAGTCCTTCGATTGAGACTCTTGAGAACTGGAGCTAGTGGGTTCTCACTGGAGGAATGGCTGGTGATGAAATTCTCTCCCTTTGCTAGTCAGCTAGAACCAAAGTTTGCTGGATGTATGGGTGGGTTGGAGGATTTGATCTAGCCCAGGGGTTCTCCAACTTCATTGCATCGCAATCCCCTTCTTACAACAAAAATTACTACATGACCCCAGGAGGGGGGACTGAAGCCTGAGCCAGAGCCAAAGCCCAAGCCCCTGCCTCCCCGGGTGGGGAGGTCAAAGCCAAAGCCCAAGGGCTTTAGCCCCAGGCAGGGAGCCTGTAACCTGAGCTCCACCACCCAGAGCTGAAGCCCTCAGCTTTGGCTCTGGCCCCAGGCCCCAGCAAGTCTAAACCAGTCCTGGCAACCCCATTAAAATGGGGTGGCGACCCACTTTGGGGTCCCGACACACAGTTTGAGAACCACTGGTCTAAATTATGAGGTGCTTTGATCTGGTCAGCTCTTTGTGGGAGGCAGGGAAAGAGGGAGAGTACACATGTTGATGTTTTGTTTTAAACATCTGGATAAACATCCAGAGGGCAGGACGATAGGCAGATATAACACATTACTACAGTAAGTAATAAAACAAAAGGAGCTGGAACTGCAGCTAGCTGAAAGACAAGCCACAAAGGGTCTAGGAATATAAAGTTTGCTGGATTGGACTGGACTAGTATCTTGTCACAAGTAGAGGCCAAGACTTGAGGCTTCAGGAGTGTGACAGTCTCACATGCCAAGCTGCTTTTATATTGTACAAGGTATGGGATGTAGGAAAGTTCTACCTGATGCCTCCCATACGGTACCACAGCTTCCATCATGTAACAGGAGACTAGATCACCCTTGATAGCCATGCAACTCAGTGTTAATGGTCAAAAATGACCCAGCACTTTTCAAAATCCAGCCACAGACCTGATAGGGCAGCAAGTGCCCAGGCTGGCACTCCGCTGGATAACACAGGCTGTTCTTACCATAGAGAACATTTGCAGAACATTAAGTAACAGCTTTCCATCAAAAGAGCAGGAGCCAACTAGTAAAACCAAGTCGCCCAGAATTGCTGGCCAAGAGGCAGCTAATATTCAATTACTGAGTAAATGCCACTTTAGAAAGGTGCAGCTGAAAGGTTCAGTCCAGTCACACTGTCAGAGAAGGGGCAAGAACAAACATGCTCAGGCAGCCCTGCATAGCCTGGGTGGTAATGCAGAGATGAGCCATGAGTCCTAGCAGATCTCAGTGGAAACTAAGGGCTTCTCTATCTGGGGAGTTAGTGCTTGGCAAGCTGAGCTGTAAATCTACAGCCTGCTGTGCACTGCCTGTGGACCATGTGGACCCTGGAAACAGCAGCAGGTCACAGGATACTATGGAACTTTCAGTGTGCAGCAGCAGAATCCACATGGCCCGTTAGCACGCTGCAGGCTACTGCACTGAAGATTTAAACCCCTGCTTGTCAAGCACTAATTATCCGCATACACAGGATACCAGAAAGGGGCAGGACACAAAGAAAGTTCAATACAGGGTTTAACTCTCTGAATGAGAAAGAAACATCTCCATTTCTAATACCATAGAGAGGACCATTCCTGTGAGCTCTCAATTGCAGACAGTTTTGTGACCAGGTCTCTGATCTGACCTCTCAATGGATGGCCCTGGCCTCTGGAACTCTTTGCCCTGTGCAGGCCTGCCAGACCCCAGAGATCCTGAGCTCCCAGGGCATGGTGCAAGGCTCTGTTTACTCTGAAGTAGGCTGGAGGTAAAGAGCATTGCATCAGGCAGCCTGACTGGGCGATCAATTGGGATGATGTTTTGAATTTTGCTGCAAGTTGCGTTAAACCCTTTGGAGAGCTCATCCTGCTCTTAAAGAGGTAAGTACTCACAGGCTCGAGCAGTTTTGATAAATGCCAGAGTAAAACCTGAAACAAGGAACTCTTATGCTTTTTAGGACTCTGGCTCCCCAGGCTGGAAAGAATGCTATAGGCTTTACCTGCAGGCTATTATATTTCATTTCCCTTCTCTATTCATAGATCCACAGCCTATAGAACAGTGGTGGGCAACCTGTCGGCTGCACGCGACCCATCAGGATAATCTGATTGCGGGCTGCGAGACATTTTGCTGATTGTCCGCAGGCACAGCCCCCCGCAGCTCCCAGCACATCCCTGCGGTCCGCCGCTTCCCACAGCTCCCAGTGGCTGGGAACGGAAAACCACGGCCACTGGGAGCTGCGGGGGGCTGTGCCTGCAGACAGTCAACTTAAACAAAATGTCTCGCGGCCCGCAATCAGATTACCCTGATGGGCTTCATGCAGCCCGCGGGCTGCAAGTTGCCCACCATTGCTAAAGAATAGCCAATAACTGTTCTTTCCTAGATGTGGTGGTCCAGATATAGTGGAACATCTTATAGTAACAAGTCAATGTAAATCCAGAAGAAATACCTTAGTACCATACCAGCTTTCCTCACTACTAGATTGTCCTACTGCACATCAAGAGACTTGTGGTGGTAAAGGTAACAGTGACGCTTTAGTTCTGCATGTGGGGTGTGATGCATCATTGTAGTGCACAAATCCACATTGAGAAAGTGACCCCTTGAGATGCTTACTATCCCTTTATGTTCTACAGGGTAAGATAGTCTGCATCTTGTCTACAAAACCACACATCCCACGTGTGAGTAACCTTCCATAGCTGTGCAACAAGAACTCAACATGTTAAACCTAGTTTGAGTCAACCCTGAGAGTTTCTAATTGTCTGGTCACTACAACATAACCTCCCATCAGGAAATCCTAAGTTCTCATGTTGTGAGAGCTGTTGAGTTACCTGCATAATGGCACTGAACTGTGCTTCATTCTCCATCTGTTCCTCTGCTATCCCTCTCTGGACACTTGCCAGAACGCTAGACTTGAAGAAGTACCGCCAATTGTGATGGAGGACCCGGAAAAGTAGCTCAAATAACTCTGCTTTCACATCAGGAGATGAGCGCTGGGGGAGAAACAGAATCTTAGAACAGACTGCTCTGGTGGAAAGCAGCTACTTCAGTGGATCCCACTACGAATAGCTCTTCCCCATAACATGCAGGTGGTCATCCAGAACAGTATTTCAGACCAGAGGTGCTCCATTATAGCAAGGGCATGGCTGAGCTGATGACCAAGAATTTCAAGCTTATTTTCCTCTAGGGTAAGCATGAGACCCAATGCTCATCTGGGCTATGCAAAAACCCCACTCTACACATAGTGAGTCCTGAAGCCTTGCCTTGAACATATCTGCAAATTTAGCTTCTTCACAGCTACCAGGCAATGACCTCAACCCAGATCAGGCTCCAGATCTAACAGTAATTCTGTCCCAGCTCGCCCCATCTAGTGGCTCAGACTGCGATAGCATGAAAGAAAACAATGAAATTGCTTCTCCCCTCCTCTCCCGCTCAGGATTTTAATTGGACACTAACTCCGCCCGCTGTATGGGAGTTGTCTTACCTCTGCAATGATGGGGTAGACCTGTTCCATGCACAGCGAGATGATGCTGGGTAAGAAAGGCTTGAACACTTGGCCTGGCTCTTGTACCACAACTTGCAGAATCTTCAGAAACTTCTCAACCACACGACAGCCAGTACTGCCCTCATGGAGGATGCTCTCTGCTAACTGCTCTCTAGGACACAAACAAAGTCACTGCCGCTGTCAGAAGTCTGAGAGATGTTTAGACAAATTAAAAGATTTGGAGACAACCACCATTAATTTAGTTTGAGGTGTTGCTATAGACTGATTGCAGCCAATCTCAGAAGGGAGCTGGCTGTGTGACTAAGGGACACCAAACCACCCAGGCTTCCACAGATTTAGGATGATTAGGGCACACTCAATATTCTCCTGATCCAGACCTTAAAGAGCATCAAAGAACAGGGACATGAAGTCAGTTCTGCAATATTTCTTTTGTCTTAGATGAAACCATAAGGCATTACAATAGCTTTACCATTTCCTCAACATGCCTCACAGCATTTGCGTGCAGGCCCCAGATTAATGACTGGTGGGCAGTCAATTCCCCCATCCAGTTAGGCCACTATAAACAGCACGTATCCTGCAGCTGGAAAGGCTATCCTTTCTTGAGCGAGGCACTGATGCTAATTCATGGTCACATGCAAGGTGCAGCAGCCTAGGGAGGTTCTTTCCTTCACAGAGGTAGAAGCTCCCAGTCTTGGCCTATGCTGGAGGCAGAGATCAATTCCTGAATGTTGTTTCAGATTCAGAGAAGCAAAACACCCCCTTTTGTTCATACAAGACCTGTTCCCACCTATTTATGAGAGGAGCTGGGGAATGTGATGTGTTTGCTGGCAGAGGATAGCTTCTTGTGTTCATAGAAGCATAGATGATTAGGGTTGGAAGAGACCTCTAGTCCAACCTTCTGCTCAAAGCAGGACCAACACTAACTATATCATCCCATCCAGGGCTTTGTCAAGCTGGGCCTTAAAAACCTTTACAGATGGAGATTCCACCATCTCCCTAGGTAACCGATTCCAGTGCTTCACCACCCTCCAACTGAAATAGTGTTCCCTAATATCCAACCTAGAGCTCCCCCGCTGCAACTTGAGACCATTGTTCCTTGTTCTGTCATCTGCCACCACTGAGAACAGCCTAGCTCCATCCTCTTTGGAACCCCCACTTCAGGTAGTTAAAGGCTGCTATCAAATCTCCCCTCACTCTTCTCTTCTGCAGACTAAATAAGCCCAGTTCCCTCAGCCATTCCTCGTAAGTCATGTGCCCCAACCCTCTAATCATTTTCATTGCCCTCCGTTGGACTCTCTCCAATTTGTCCACATCCTTTCTGTAGTGGGGGGCCCAAAACTGGATGCAATACTCCAGACATGACCTCACCGGTGCCGAATAGAGGGGAATAATCACTTCCCTCAATCTGCTGGCAATGCTCCTATTAAAGCAGCCCAATATGCCATTAGCCTTCTTGGCAACAAGGGCACACTGTTGATTCATATCCAGCTTCTCGTCCACTGTAATCCACAGGTCCTTTTCTGCAGAACTGCCGCTTACCCAGTCAGTCCCCAACCTGTAGCAGTGCATGGGACTCTGCACTTGTCTTTGTTGAACCTCATCATATTTCTTTTGGCCCAATCCTCCCAATTTGTGTAGGTCACTCTGGATCCTATCCCTACCCTCCAGCGTATCTACCTCTCCCCCTAGCTTAGTGTGATCCGCGAACTTTCTGAGTTTGCAATCCATCCCATCATCCAGATCATTAATTAAGATGTTGAACAAAACCGGCCCCAGGACCAACCCCTGGTGTTGTAACCTGCCTCCTCCCTCCAAGTCATCTGGTCTTTTAAAAAAGCATTTTTGCCTCCTTCCCCCAATGGATTCATTCCTGGGAAAAAATCCAGGCACTTTGAGGGGGTGAAAATATTAATGGATACTTTAGAGAAGTGGCCAATCAGCAAGCTGCTCATACAGCAGACGTTCTCAAGGTAAAGAGCTTCCTCACACAGGGTCCAGAAAGAACAACTTTTCACCAGTGTTAGGCAACCAGGGGTGACAGGTACCTGGTGAACATGTTTAGGAAGGTCTGTATGATCTGCTCAGTGAAAGGTACTCCCATCTGTACCCTCAGTCCTTGGAAGAGAGTGAGGAAGAAGCTCAGCATCTCATCTGTCACATCTATAACAGAAAGAAGAAAGGCAAGAGAAGGTGTTAACGAGATAGCTGTAAAGCACCGCATATGTTTGTTTTGTTAATGATCTGCTCCTCCTGTGCTGGATTCCCCTTTACTCATTCATGCTGGGATTACCAGTAGGGCTGCCATTGCAAATGAGAGACTAAGGGCTGGTACCAAAGGTTTATAACCGGACACCTGGTGGGAGAGGCAAACTGGAGTGGCCTTTTATACAACCAGCCAGCATGATACAGTGCTAACAGCAGAGAACCCACTTAATTAGTCTGAGCCACCAACATGGAAAGTACTGAGGTGCCTCTTGGGCCACGCTCTGTCAGTTCACTGCTTATACGGGATCAACAGGAAGTAATATGAAATTCAAAAGCCACGTGCCTTTGTGCCTTTAAGAGGCGGGGGAAGGGAGGAGGAGAAAAAGGAAACTGACTGGTTTGATTTTTGTAATTATTAAAGACACTCGGCTGAATTCAGAGGTAATTCCCAGCACATGGTTGTGTGCTTAACTGATTATCACTGCAGAGTCAAGTCTTGTGCTAGCACTGTCTCACACACTTGATTGGGTAACCATGTTAAAGCTGTATCTGCTCAATTCTTTCACTGTGCATGTCCCACCATGGATAAATACTGCAACTGCATGAGACTGTCCACAAAGGGAATTTCACTGTTCCCTTGTCTGCTAGCTATTCACCAGAATGGCTAATCAGGGAGTTGTGACATCAGCTTACCCTACTGGATTTTGTTTGCCTTTAAAGTTATCCTCTATCCTGTCTCTTATTCTTCCTCCTACCTCCCAACTCCTTACTTCTCTACACATCCAGGGGAAACAGTTTTGTATTCCTGCTCCACCGCAGAAGCTGCCACCTCTCTTTGGGGTACTAGATGTGACCCACGATGGTCTCACTAGGCTGCCCTGGTGCCTCTTTTCTAGTGAAATGCTGGGTACTCCGGGGGCTGTAGCTGCCAGCTGCCTTAGTGCGATACAAAGCCTGTTTCTCAAGATTAACTGGGGTCCTGCTCAGGATAAGACTGATTAGCAAGGACCTCTGGGGCCTGGCTCTGACCCAGGATTATTTGCTTCACAAGCAGTCTCAAGAACTGTCCGTCTTGGTCTGAACGGGGCTACACCTCCACACCTCTTCAAGATTCTGAAGATATGGTAAATGCCAGGTAACATTATGTGCAAAAAACATTTTTTGTTTTTAAATCCCTTAGCCAGGTTTGTTCCATTGTGTGTCTGGCAAGGGACCATTCCCGAGGAACAGGTATAGGGCATTTTGAGGATTCAGTACCTTTCATGACTACGTCCTCATCAGCTGGAGTACCAGTTGTTTAAGCAATTTAAGACCATTTCCCTATCAAATGTCTTCTGACCCTTTCCTGATCCAAGATGCAGCTTAACCTAAAAGTTCCCAGTTAAACAGGTGCCCACAGTACTGATTCACATTCCACTTGGGCAAACAAATCTATGCACATCATGTATGTGCCAAGGCTAATTTTATCAGAATGGGCTTTGGGCATTTATCAGTAGGTCATAAGAGCTACTCACAGCATTAAAGCTTGTCCTATTGTTATACCTGACTGATGAATGAAAGCTGGGAAGAGGGCTAGTGAGACCTGCACGGATTCCTGCAGTGACTGATAACAGATCTGCCGAGACTTGGTAGACTCTCCAGAGATACTTTCCACAGTGTCTTCTAAGATACTAAGTGTCTGGTGAATGATCACTTTGGCTGCAAATCAAGATGAAGAAAGAGTTAGGAGAGATTTTCCAGGGATACTAAGAAAACTAACCAAGTGGCGGAAATCACTCATCCACATCTACAATGGCCAAAACCTAGAAGCCTTTCCACAGACAAGATGACTATACACCAGCTCAAGTTCCCAATGCAAAAAGTGCTTAAGAGTGTGCCTAATTTTAAGCAAACAGGCCCACTGAAGACAACAACTCACATGCTTAGTCCTAGCCATGTGTTCAAGTACCTGGCTTGTCCAAATGGTTACTGCTTCTATTAAGAGGCAGAGACTATGGGATCACAGAGAAGTGGAGGGATAGCTCAGTGGTTTGAGCATTGGCCTGCTAAACCCAGGGTTGAGAGCTCAATCCTTGAGGGGGCCATTTAGGGATCTGGGGCAAAAATCTGTCTGGGGATTGGTCCTGCTTTGAGCAGGGGGTTGGACTAGATGATCTCCTAAGGTCCCTTCCAACCCTGATATTCTAGGATTCAGATTAACTATGTGTTTAAATGAGACCACTAAAGTAACACCAGACAAGAAGAAAACAAAGAACAAACATGCTGGAACAATGGGCTACACTGGTCAATTTAGTACATGACAATGACAACAGCAGTGAAGACATTGCAAGCAAGCACTGTGTAAATATCAATGGAGGAGAGAAAACACTGGCCCAATTCAAGCTGCACAGCAGTTTTCTGATGAGTACCAACCGTCCTTTCAGGATTGAGACAACCCAACCCCCACACACTTGTCCCGTATATAAAGCAGACCACTGCTCTCCAGAACGTGCCAGGTTTGAACACCTTGTGTCTATACTGTAGCTGTAAGTGATAATCTAGGATTCCAAATAATATTTAGTAGAATGATCTTCAAAACTAAAGCCCCGCAACATGCATAGGAACCCTTTTAGCTAGCAGAGAACATGACATTTCAATCCCCAACCCCAACAAGCGTTCTCTATATCTCTGAGTCTTGACAAAATCCTTACTATTTTCTCACAGCTGAAATCTTTGGGAACATTACCGCCAACCTAGATTTCCAGCATAATAGCCTAATGGTAGCCCCCCAAACTACTGCATTAGTCAACTAGAGTATTTTATAATGTAATCTTTCCTGCCTAGAAGGTTAAAAACGACAACTTGATCCTGATCTCTGAGCAATGAAGAAGTGTGCTGACAACTCACTGGAGCAAAAGTTCCCTTTAAAACACTCACTGAAAAGGTGGGAAGGACAGTCGCATTAACAGTCATTTGATCTAACCGCTCGCACCTCAGTCTCCCAAATAAGTCTCTGAGTACAGGCTTTCCAGCTAGTGCAGTTATTGGAACAACTCTGCTTAATGACTCCCTATCAGCAGCTGCCCTGGTGGATGGTTCATATCAGGAAACAGAGCACTTACTGTCCTCCAGCCGCACTTTCCTCTGTGGCAGGATGGCACTGGATTTCAGATGGCGGTATTCCCTTGTGAGGGCAGAGATCAGACTGGCATGGTTGGTTGAGCGAACTGCCCACTGCTGTTCACTCTCCGGGAGATTTGGCCATGGCAGCAACAACACATTTGAGAGCGCTCTGCACACCAGTACCTGGGCCTGGAACCAACGAAACATTAAGGCTTGAAACAACGCAGCTTTAAGGAACCTGCTATTGCCTCATTTAAGGGAGACCTCTCTCAGTTTACATGGAAGTGCGTTTCCAGCATAAGTACTGAAGAAATCAAGTTTAATAAAAGAGCGACGTTAAAAGCCCAACACGCAACTGAAATCTTGCAAACTAGAAGGGGAAGGTGAGTATTGTGATTAAGGCACTAGACCCAGCCTCAGACCTGGGTTCAATTCCCAGACTCTCTGGATAACCTGGAGCAATTCACTCAATCTTTGTGCTTCAGTTCTACATCTGAGTAATGAGGGCTTTGTCTACACTGTGTAGCAGCATTGACTACAGGGATGTGGAATTACAGAGCCCACCAAAGTGTTGTGATCTAACTGCCCTGCATGGACACTGCTGGCATGAACTAAGGGTATGTCTATACTGCAAATAAAAAAAAAAAAACGTGTAGCATGGCATCTGTGTCAGTGGGCTCCTGCTGCAGGGCTAAAAATAGCAGTGTTGATGTTTGGGCTCAGGCTGGAATCCCAGCTCTGAGGTCCTCCTCCCCTTTGCTATTTTATAGCCCCGTAGCCAGTCACCTGACCCAGGTGTGCCACAGGTCTTTTACTGCAGTGTAGATGTATCCTAAAAGGTATCCAGCTTGCACTAACAGAGTCCTGTTTGAAAGAGGACGTACGTTAATGCAAACTAGGCATCTTTTAGTTTGTGCCAGCAGTGTCCACACAGGGCAGTTAGATTGCCACATTTTTGTGAGCTCTGCAATTGGCCCCTCTATAGTCCACAGCACTGTGTACACAAGCCCAAGGATAACGCTTCCTTGCTCCTACCTATTGTCTGTCTTGTTATTTATATTGTAAGTTCTTTGGGACAGACGCGTAGTAGGTTTGAACAGTCCTCAACACAAGGAGACCCTGATCTCTGCCAGGGCCTTTAAGTACTACTTAATACAAATCAGCATTTAAACTGGGAATGCAGACTAAGGAATCTGAATGGAAATATTCCTCTCCATGAGTCATAGCCAGCCCTAGAATGCAGAGGTTCAGAGACAAAACTATCAAATGTAGATAATTCAGAGCTCTTGCCATCATAAAACAGCCAGGACATCAGGTACAATTTACAGGAAGTTAAGATGTTGTTTAATAAGATTTGAGAGTTCCAATTTTATGTTTTTCCTCAGTTTTAGTACTTCTACTCTAAAAATTAAAGGCCAAGACACTCTGATTGCTGCACATAATGTTTACAGAATCCAGGAGTAACGTCTCTTTCCCTGAAATTGATGTACCATGATGGTAGAAGCTGTGGTATTGTTTCCTCAGGGCACCCAATTAAACTGACATTCTGCATTTGTGTTAGAGTCAAACAGCACCTTATCAGGAAGCCGCTGAGCGGAGGTATCTGTGATCCTGTTGAAAACTTTCTGTACTGCTGGGATTCTAATCAAGAACACTGGCCGCACTGTAGTAGCTAATGAGACCAGCAAGTGGCACGCAGACAACAGCAACTTCTCTTGCACCTGAAAAAGAGAGCACGTGCTGGTTAAGCTTTGCAGTAACTCAGTCCTACAGTGTCAAGAGACAGTGGACTTTCTGGGACACAGCACTGGTATTCAAGAGCACACTGAAACTGACAGACAGAACATTCACACAAACTAGCCTTCAAGCACAAGTCAGTATTCAGTGGCCTTTAATCAGAACACAGGTCAGCCCCTTACCACGGAGTGTGAAGATTTCTCAACTCCCAGATTAAAGGAGCCACAATATAATTAGACCTTTATTAATCCATCTTTACTTAAGAGGCTGCTCTTGCAGCGATTGGCTGTCATTTATTTCTATGATGCTATTTAAGGCAGCTTTTGTCTCGATGACACTACCTTCACACCTCACCAAGTTTTTCACCATGTTCTTGGAAAGCAGACAAATGCATTGCACAGGCAAATAAACAGAACCTCTCATCTGCAGAGTCACATGTCCTGAGGGCCAACCTGCTAAATGTATAGAGACAAGAGTAGCATCTGCATGGAAAGTTGGATGTTAATTTCAGGTTTTACCCTCTTGTTTCTAGGAGAAGTATTTGCCTTTTTTGATGAAGGTACCTTGGAGCTGATGAGTGGAGTAATTGCTTCCAGGGCGGTGGAGACGAGAGAGATGAACTGCTCTGGATTCTGCCGATGAACTTCACTGTAGAACTGGGCTAGCCAATGAGAGTAAGCCTGCAATGCTGCCAGTGACTGAGCGTGGCTGGAAGGAGGGAGAGACAATTGTAACAAACATGTGATAAAGGGCATTCCAGAAGGACCACAACAGGATGGCGGAAGTCTCGAATACAATAAAGTAGCTCTGATGACATATTACAGAGAGGCACTTTTCCTTGGAGTTAAGGTGTACAATAGCTTTTCCCATTATAAGACATCCAGAACTGTCCATGTCTGAAGTTTAACACATGCATTAGAATTTCTGGAAACTTTAAGGCAACCTAGACAAGACTTTTTTTTTTTTTTGAGAGAGAGAGAGAGAGAGAGAGAGAGAGAGAGAGAGAGAGAGAGAGAGAGAGAGAGAGAGAGAGAGAGAGAGAGAGAGAGAGAGAGAGAGAGA